TGCTTTTCTATTTCCGTCGTCACTCCTGACGTGCAAATTCGTTTACAAGCAGAAGGCCCCACTTTCCTACATAAATGAAACTAAAATATAATAAAATGAAATGGCGCGCATTGTAGAGGCCGAGAAGATGAAGAGAGCTGGGCATATTCTGAAATCTGCCAACTGTATTAACTAAGAAAAACAAACAAACAAAAAAAGCAGGAAAAAATAAAAAATAAAAAATACTGAACAGTTGCCAATGTAATGATCGTCTGTTCTCATGTGAATTATGACTTCGTGATTTGATGCTTGAGACATTCAACTTTGTAGTTTTTTTTTATTTTTATGCCTGTCTTCTTTTTTGACACATGCGAGGCATTCTCATTGCTTAGACTGGGAGAAGTATTCCTGGAATCAGATCGCTCAAAGTCCGAATACCCTGAACAGACGAACCTAGGGGTCACAACTTTTATTTAATATTACTCACCTTACTGGGCATCATTTGGTTCATTCAAAATATATATACTTTGTGGAACTCTAGGTGAGCACGGACTTTGAAGTTCAGTTGCTCATCAATCTAATAGAAGATTAAGTAATCATGGAAACTAGTAACATAATTCTTTTTACTATTTTTTCTATGAAATAAAATCGGATTCTGGGAAAGAATGGAGAAACATTTCATCATTCCAGTAGGAGCAGAGCAGATTGGAAACGGCTCATTGCTAAGATAGCAGATACTCTGATTAAAATTAGCGATGTTTGTCTTAATACAGAAGATTAGTGAATTCTTCAAAGATCGAGTTTACTTGGTTGACTGCGTACAGGGAAGCCTTCTTCGTGGCCCAATTCTGAAGTTCTGGGTGCTCCAGCTTGCAAATCTTTCCAAACGGTGTTTAGGACGGTTAATTGATAATTGTCAAGGGCGATCGCCAAGACCAGTGGGAACAAGCCACTGTGCTCAGTTCCTCAAAGGAGAATCACAATTATTATAGCATAATTAGTATGTTTTAAAAAAAGAAAGTGGACGGTAACAACGTGGCCAGATGCTCAAGGCCAGAAGAACAGGTCGTTTCGACCAGGTGAATCCATCAGAAAGCCCCTCCACGATTCACGAGACGAGAGGACCAACGCCCTTTGATGAAACACCACAAACTAGTTTCGCGTCACCTGCATAACAAGCAGATCTCGGGGTGCTTGTAGCTAAAGAAACTGCACAAGACGGTCAACTTTTTCGGTTCTCATTTTGCTCAAATGAACGGCTGCATCGCAAGTGTGGATGGAGCCTGCAGCACATTGGTTGGAATGGGCTTGAATGTGTTGCATCTTTGCAAGCCGAGTCTCTCATGGTCCTAGTCGATTGTTGACCAACAACTTGTCTGAACACTGTCAGAAAAAGCCAAAACCAGTCTGACATCAGTCCCCAGGAAAAGAAAGCCTCCACCAACGTCCAATGAGTGCATGCACCCGTACAGTTGTTCCTAGAACAATAAGGGTTAAAAGATACAAAGCCAGCACTACTTACCTTTGCATGATGTTTAGGCTCCAGCTGCACTCGAACGGTGCGGCTGGAAAAATTGCACCATAGCCTGTTACGCTGTCAATAGAGTAGAAAATAATGCGTTATTATCCACCGCATACTTCTCCGCTTGTTTCATATATAACAAGATGTGTCCTTCGAGGATGCCAAAGTGGCGCCGGATGAACCCAGTTCTCCATTTCTTTGTTTCTCCATGCATTAAGATTGAGCCCATCTGATCACCGGGCACGTGGTAAATCATTGGATTGTGCGCGGTAGCAAAGACTTCGTCGAGTTGCCACAATATTGGCAAGCTTCGAATTGGATGTTCGAACCAAAAGCTGGCAACAGCTTTGTGATGCACCCCCCCTTCCCATCAATGAGGTAGTTCCCGCGACGACCGTTTCGGGCACGGCTCACTGCTTGGAAGCGAAGCTTAGCTTGTGCCAGAGACGCCCACTGCGTCACTGCTTCCTACGCTACCAGTTGCGTCACTACGACGTTTTGAAGGCACGAAATGCGGGCTCCTGGCAAGCCTCACGCAGTGCTAAGCCACGTCCAAGTGGTTCAGACCCACAGGGATGTCCCTCCTGAATCACTGCTAACGTAGCGGCATTCCATCTCCGCCGAAGCGCCTCTAAAACTAGCGGCAACCATGAGCAAAAGCATGCACTTGTGCTGTTGCTCGTACTGTGTTACAGCTGCTCAAGCAGTAGAAATTCACCAACTTAGGAAATCTAGACACACTAAATGGGTGGATGGTGGAGTATACTGTAAAGTGGTGCATGTCACCAACTTAGGAAATCTAGACACACTAAATGGGTGGATGGTGGAGTATACTGTAAAGTGGTGCATGTCATCAAGGAGCAGGTGTGTATGTGTTTGACTCAGTATATATATATATATATATATATATATATATTAATATTCAATTATCTTAAACTTAAAGAGGATGACAAAGTAATAAAATGTATGCTCTTTCAAAATCAAAACAAGTTAAAATAAGTAATATGTAATTATAGAATTTGGGAGTTTGCATTAGAGCATCGGAACAGGTTGTTTCCACGTCTGTTTAAAATGATGGCAGAGAACCAGAATTGGTTGCTAACATATTTAGACTATTCACGTTTTCTTTCTTTATAGTTTTAATATTGTAAGTTTTTATACTTCTTGTCACGTAGAGTAACCAAAGATATTCACTAGTTGTTTTTAACTTCTTACCAATTGTGCATATTATTGTCATCATCATTCTTCTTACTAATATTATACAGCACACAATTTTAATGATACTGATGATAAAAGGTTCTTTTGAAGTTCAAACTTGTCAAGGGAAGAGTTGTAACGTGAGAAAATAGAGTTAGATTGCTTTTGCTGAATGGATGAGGATAGAAGCTTTTGGGAAGGTGCTTGTGTGGGGCTTTAATTGCCCTTCTAAAGGGATTGGCATCACATGTGCTGCTGTACGTCACAGACCTTGAGGCTGTGGTGATTCTGCTTGTAATGGTCCATGTGGGTTATTTGCTTGGATCACCATGCAAAATGGTGCACTCAAGCCATTCATCATGTACCCCTCAAGTACATGTTGGGACATGTTGAAAATAAAAACATTCTGACAAAAATAAAATAAAATAAAATAAAATAAAATACTCTATAAATTTGATATATGTTTTTCAATTTCAAAACATCTAAAAAGTAATTCTATGATAGTTTTTAAGTTTTATGATCTTTCATTTGAATTCTTTGAAATTTATATTTTTTATAATTCAATTTTAAATTGTAAATGTCAATAATTCTTAAACTGTCTAAATAATTATGAATATACTAAATAGATTAGATTCATGGAATTTTTTTATTAAATCATTAAAAAAAAAAAAGTTTGATTTATACATGTATTATGTTTCTACAAGACCTTCTTTAAATAGCTCTTGACATTCAAAAAGCTAGTATTGAAGCATCATGCAATTCAAACATTTGGCCCACAAACCTTATAACTTTTTAAAAGCTTTTTAACAATCATCTTATTAATTGAAAAATATAGAAGGAATTTTAAGGTCATCTCAAGTCTTGTTAATATTTTTATTTTATTTGATCTTAATTCAAGAATGATAATCTTAACTATTATTTAAGTCAATAGAATTTTTTTTGATATAATTATTTTAATTAATATATAAATCATTGCATAAAGAGATAAAATGCATGCTATTTAATGGAACTAAGATCTAAATTTTCATACTTCAAATATAAGCAAGTCAAAAATTTGGTAGCTTAGAAAATTCTTTCTAGAATCAACTTTGAAAAAATCTTGTTAATCACCTTAAATCATAATTAGATGGTTTTTATCTCTTATTAGATGTCAATCTACAAGTACTAATCTAAAAATAGTTCTTATTGAATTAAATTTGACTAATTGTTGTCAAAATTCATGTTAAGAGAAATTCCACACCAACTAATAGTTTAATCTAAATTACACTTAACCTAGCTTGAATAGAGACAATACATTTTAAACTTAGATTGATCAAAACAATTTAATTTTTATAATCAATTCAAACAGAACTTTGTATTTAACATTAAAAATATTAATAAAAGTACCTAGTATTTGCTACTTGATACTTTTTTCTCATTTAATCATTGGCTTTAGTAGTTTCTTACACTACAATTATTTATTGGTGATTAATTGTTTTTTTCTATTTAAAGCTACATGTTCTCTTAATCTAATCTATTTGGATCCTATTCATTCCAATCTCCCTATTATGTTGGTTCTTTTAAACCACTCTTAGTTACTTAGATTGGTACATAAATATTCGTAAGTACTTTGAGCTTTAAAATAGCTATACTAATATCATAATACTACATATATATTTAATTTATTTTGTATTTATTTATATTTTTATACATATATATTTTTAGAAAATACATATTTTTAGAAATTTATATAAATTCAAGTCCTTGACAAACTAACGTACTATAACTTGTGTTCATATATCAGACTAATTTCCAATGAACTTTAGAATTTGTCGCTTGGAATAATATTGTTGTTGTAATACCAATGCAAGATCCAGATGCCTTTTGTGACTTGTCATTGAGGAATGGAGTAAGCATATTTCTTCTCCTTTCGAGCTATAAAGGCAATTCATAATCTTACTGGACCTTACCTTGGAATTTAAAAAAGAAAATTGAAGGAGAAAACAATGTTTTAAGACACAAAATGAAGACAAGATTGTAAGACATTGAGGGAAGCAACACTTGAAGAGTGATTTGTCAACCATCCTGACCTTGAGTCCATATGAGCTGAATTGGAATTTCTCAAGTTCACACCTCACGTCAGGAGTGACGACGGAAATAGAAAAGCAGCTAACGTGCACAATTTCCTGGAAAGGAAGCTATCCGTCGTCAGTGATCGATTGCGGTGTGGGAAAAGTTCCACACCAACGGCGCGTCGCCTATCACCCATGTATCCACCGTTGGCCACCATCGGCGTCCTCCAGCCTTCAAATACCCTCCTTGGGGGGGGGGGTCTCACATTATCAACCAGCTTCCGGACCGTACCGATGGTGCAGCGGATTCAACCCCACATCGATCTGGAACTTTGTCGTTAGTGCTCACCCAGAAGAAGAGCTTCTGCGGAGTAGTCTTCACCCCTATAGTGCCGACCTAGTGGTTATCTGAGCATTTGATCGCAACGATTTCACCTAGAGCGGTGGAGTGATTTTCAGCTGCTGCCTGATAGGAAGGATTGTCTAACGGGATTGGGGGAACGTGCAATCTAGCAATGGGGTCGCTCGGGGGTTCGCGTAGCACCCTGCTGATTTTGCTGCTACTGTGTTTGAGCTTGGCTGTTGGCGGTCGCGCCCAAACGCTTGCTCAGCAGTTCACTCCGTGGACTGAAAATGCGAGGTTCACTACTGACACTCAAATGCAGCTCACCTTGGATCAACGCTATGCAGCTGGGGCAGGATCCGTGAACGTTTGGACGTACGTCGACATCAGCGCGTACATAAAGATGCCGCCATTCGATTCCGCTGGTACTGTGACAACGTTCTACATGTCGTCTCAGGGTGACCAGCATTACGAGCTGGACATGGAGTTTTTGGGAAACACTAGCGGACAGCCCTTCCTGCTTCACACGAATGTGTTCGTTGATGGGGTTGGGGGTCGCGAGCAGCAAATGTACCTGGGATTCGACCCCTCTGCTGACTTCCACTACTACAGATTCCGGTGGAGTAAGGATATGGTTGTTTTCTACGTCGATAACAAACCCGTCCGAGTTTTCAAGAATCTGGAAGGCACGGTACCGGGGACTAAATACCTGAACCAGCAAGCAATGGGGGTGTACATAAGCATCTGGGACGGTAGCAGTTGGGCCACGCAAGGAGGGCGTGTGCCCATCAACTGGGCTTCCGCTCCATTCACTGCGACGTACCAGGACTTCGCACTGAATGGGTGCGTGGTAGACCCCAACGATCCCAATGGAGTTGCAGCATGCCAGAACTCTCCGTATGCAACCGGAGCAGCCTTGAGCAATCAGGAAGTTTATGAGTTGGGGCAGAACAAAGCTTACATGATGAAATACGACTACTGCGACGACAGGGTTCGATACCCAGATGTGCCACCTGAATGTCCTTACAACAACGTGTAGAATACGGAATGAGTCGTGTACATGTTACGTGCTAGCTATTTGGGGCGTGGTTGCCTAGTGAAGATATAGTTGCGTAGAGGTCATCTGATTCTTTTGTATATTAATTGTACGCGGATGTCGATTCTTGAAAGGAAGATTTGGTTGTAGCTCATATTATTAAAAATAAGCACTATAATAGGTAATATTTTAAATGTACTATTGAAAGATATAACTGTAAGATGTACTAATAATTTATTAGCTGAATGTCGTATGTTTAAAGTTCAGGATATTATGAGTGACTCGAAGTACCTATCAACTACTTTTGTGAGAATTGTATATTATAATTTGTAGCAAATACTATTTAATATCTTTTAAATTTTATTGATTAATAAGTGAACATAAAATTTTACTGATATTTTTACTTTTATTTTGTAAAAAGAGAGATGTTGTTATGAACACTTATATTATATTAGTAAATTAAATGAATGAAATAGAAATGTTTTAGGCAAATGCCAAGTAGACACCTCTTTTTTTTATTGCCTAAATACATATTTTTTACTACATGGACACCACCTTCAATTACCCTTCTCTATTATCTCCTCCCTTCTACTTCTGATAAATGTGGAAAATTGCACTTGTAATGCTAAAACTCTTTTAATTAATTAATTAATTATTTTCTTTTGTTTTATGTCAATTCAAATGTAAGAAAATACTTATTGGATTCTTAAGATGAAAAAAAACACCATATTACTAATAAGTATTCTTCTTATTCATGTACTTTTTAAATTTATTATATTTTATAATTTTTATAAAAAACTCAAAAACTATTGCTCCAAAAGTTGTTATTAATGTACTAAGAGTTTTTTTATTGTGTTGTTTTTCTTGAATTCTTACTTGAGAATGCATTGAGCACTTGATTATAGAAGGCAAAATGGAAATTGCAAAAACAAGATCTTAATAACATTAATATAATTCTAAATAAACTCCAATTAAATTTTAATAGTCATAATCAAACCTTCATCAAATCCTTTTAAAGTCCTAAAAAGATTATAAAAGAAACATAATGAAGACTTAATTTTTTTTAAAAATATCATAAAATATTTTATAAAAATTGTAAAGAAATAATAAAAAAAATACTTAAGAAATATTATTTTTTTTAAAAAATAAAATCCTAATCAAATCTAAAATCCTAAATCTTAAATCAAATCTCTAATTAAATTCAAATCTTAAATTGACTCCTTATAAAATCCTAAATCTTAAAATAAATTCTTAGTTAATCTTCTAATAACTTAAAATATTACTAGTTAATTATATAATTATAAATTTCAATTCAAAATTTTCACACCTCTAAACTATTAAGTTGAAAATTATTACAAAGAATTTTAGGAATATAGAACTTACAAAATTGAAGATAAACTATAAAATCTAATCATTATTGTATTACATGTATTCTCGCTTGAGAACACTCTAGGTGTCTAGTTGTGGAAGGTAAGCAAAAATATAAGAATAATCCTACATAGTCTAATAAAATCTTAAATAACCTTACGTAGACCTTGATAATCCTAATTAAACTTTGATCAATTCAAAATAAATTTAAAAGAAGTTATAAAAGAAATACAAAGAAGTCTCCAACTAATTTCAAAGAAAAATAATCAAAATTTTTAAAGAAATATAAAAATAAACCTTTAAAGAAATAATAATAATCTCAAAGAAATATCAAAAATAAAAATTTAATATAATCCTAATTAAAATATTAATTGAACCTTATTCAATCCTTAGATTAAATTCTAATTGAAACCTTAATTGAACCTTAATTAAATCATAGGTCAAATCCAAATGAAATCATTATAAAATCCTAAATCCTATGTCAAATCCAATTGAAACGCTAATAAAATCCTAAATCCTAGATAAATCCTAAACAAATCCTATTCAACTTCTAGTCAAGTTCTAAACTAAACTCCAAGAAAATTCTAATATTAACCAAATCTTAGACCAAATACAAAGCTCTAACCAAACTATGGACAAATCTTAAATCAAATCCTATAGAAAATTAGAATCTCAATAGCTAATGATCAAGCTATTAATATCAACATAAAATTTGCATACCTCTTAATATCTTAATTAAAAAAAAATATAAGAAAGGTGAAATCAATTTCACTCATTAATTGGGAGAAATGCAAGCTAATCCAATTGGATATTGAATAGCTTGCTACTCCAATCTCAATGCTAAACTTTTAATGCCAATATCTCCTTCTTGTATTATTGAATTGCTTCCAAGTTTTACCTAAAATGTTGAAAATTGAATCTAGTATCCATATAAAAAGAGTTCACTTCAATCCAATTGAAAAATTATTGAAGATCTTAGAAATACTTATTAATCCTCAAACTCTAATTTTTGAGATCTCAATCCCCAAAAATCTTTAAACTTGCTCTAATTATTCAATTAAATTCAAAATTTGTACATACATTTACAACTAGTATATCAATACATTATTTAGAATTCACTCAAATAAATATCACAAAACTTAAGAAACTCTCAACTTTATAAACATATTTTTGTTTTTCAAAATTTTAACCAACCAAAAATATTGCTAACTTTGAAAATCTCTCTAAAACTCAATATTGATTCAATTGACATAAAACTAATGCCCAAAAATCTTTTCTCAAGTCTTCTCTCAAATTCCACTCTTGAATCTACTAAAGAACCTTAAAGTCACCATAAGTGTATAGTTTTGTCCCTCAGGGTTTGATTTCAACTTAGGTTGACAACTAGTCTTCTATGGATATCAATTCTTAGTTTCTTGATGTAAATTTTGTTGAAATCTACTCATAATTCCTTCCTACATATGCTAATATTAATTAAATTCCCAATCTACTTTATTTTGCCTTATATATGGTTCTATAAAAAAATAGAAGCCTATTTTGCAAAAAAGCAATATTAATATTCTTTAATTTTATTAGCTTTTTAACTATTATCTATTTTTCTATTATTTTCTGAGATAATTTTTTTAATATTTTAAAATAAAATCTTATATGATATGATGTTTTCTTCTTTCTTTCATTTATTAGCTATATTACATCACAACACTGCTTGATTGATTTCAAATTTTTTACATATATTTATAACAAGCACAACAACAAACCATAAAAATTTCACTTCTAATTATGCCAAAAAATACACAAAATCCTCAAATTTGTAAACTTATTTTTATTTCTCAAAATCTAAATCCACCAAGTACATCATTAACTTTTAAAATCCCTCAAAACCTCAATATTAATCTAAATGATATGAAACTAATACTTAAATTTTTTTCCTCAAGTCTACTTTCAAATCCTACTTTTTGATTGACAAAAGAAGCTTGGAGTCACCATAGGTTTGTGGTTTTGTGCCTCTTGGTCTGATTTTGACCTTAATTGGCAATTGGTCCTCTCGGGGTATCCACTGTTAGTTTCTTAAGGTAATTTTTGCTAAAATCAACTCCTAACTCTCTCTTACCTATGCCTATATTCTTGATTTTTCTAATCTATCTTATTTTATTTTATTTATAGCCATAAAAAATAATTAGAATCTATTTTTATAAATTTTTTTAATACTATAAGATTTTATCTATGTTTTTTATAATATCTTTTTAATTAGTCTCTTTTATAATAAAGCACTTTCTTTCTTCTTTCACTTAATGGTCGTATGACTATACAACATCTACCCTCCTAAACTTAAGCATCTTTTACAATGTATTAATGATTATTTAATATGTTGATGTAAAGCACTCTTCATTTAGATTAAATTCTTTGTCTTCAATCTGCTCTTCCAGTCTCATTTCAATGTTATTTAATAGATTTTATTTTTAACCAAAATATGTGCATATATTTCTTTGTCTAAATAATTTAATTAACTTCTTTATTATAAGTATCTTCAATTTCATTCCATTAAGTTTCCGAAACATGTATGTACCATTACTATGAAAGCATTTCTTTAAAATATTTCTCTTCATCTCTTGTCAAAAATATTTGACACTCAACTTTTAAATCATCTAATGTCAATTTAACCTTGAATTCATGACCTATTTTTCTTGGATCTCTTGTATTGAATTGCACAAAAGCCTTCTCAATCCTTTCCTCAAAATCTCATGGTAGTAGTAATGCCACTGGTTTAACCTTTTTTGCAACAGCTTTATATTTTGTATTCATCTTCACTTCATACTTATCTACATATTATTTAATTCCATCATAAAATTACTTAGAATGTATATTTATTATTTTATCACTAACTTCAAAATCTAAATCCAATAACATTTGTAAATTATCTATTATATCACTAAAACAAGATTCTTCAAACATCCCTGATATGTATTCATCTTCATCAATCATTTCGTATTTCTTCAATTCATATTCCATATTTTTGACATTTTTCTTCTCTATCCTTCTAAAATTATTTATATTTTTTAATGAAATATATCCATCTTAAGATAATCTTATAATGGTCTCAATTTTTCTACTAGATGGGAAGCCATTATTGCTTCTACCATTGTAACCTTGCTTTATAATGGCTTCTATTAAAAATCCCTTAAGTTGTTAAGATCTTTAAATTCTTTGTATACCCTTGGCAAAAAGATGTTTTCTCAAACTACCCCAATTCTTTTCATAATTTACATAACCTATTAAAAATTACACTACCTTCTTTCCATCTTGACTTTTTATCCTTACATAAGCTAAACCATCATCCATAATCTTTGTTTCTATTTATGTGGCAATAATATATTTTTTTCATAATATAATAGGATATATAAATATATCTAATACAAAGAAATTTTGTTCATGAATAACATCTGCTATTGTTACTTTAATATTTGGGCAAGCTCTATAAAAAAATTCTTTGAATTATTTGGAAATCTTGTCATCTACCTATGTTTAGTATAAATAGATTAATTTTATTTATATATAATTCTTTTGATATAAAATTGATTTTAGAATCATGATCAAATAATACTATAATCGATTCTTTAAATTTTCTAATTTTACTATTTTTTTTTTTAATAACCCTTATTCAATGATTTCAAGAATAATGACTAGAAGCTTAAATCACATCTTTTTCTTTTGTAAATCTAATTCATGAAATATTTCCAAAATTTTATATTTCATCTTCTTCATCTATATTGCTTTTCATTGCATTTGCTCTTTGTACATTTGATTTTATAATATCTCCCATAGGTTATATTTTTTTTCTTTATTGTATCAATAATAACTTCATAAAATTCACACTTTTTACTTTTTAGAATTTCACCAATTGTAAATTCAAAATTTTCATAAAAAATTTGTTCTTTTAATATCTTTTTTAAATCTATAGTAGTTTCAATATCTCATTGTAATTTATAAAAAAGAATTTTTATTTTTTTCTTTCACAATTTTTCT